CTATCACCTATAATAGAAAACTATGCCAGAAAATTCACTTGAATTTCTCATTAGTTATAAAAAATTACAAATCTGTCATAAATACTGTACACCTATATTTTGTTGAATTTAAGATGCCTTGATGATGGCACTTTCTGGATCTTAGAGGGTTCAACAGACGGTTTCACACACAAGTGCATCACGACTACACCTACCTTACAGTGATTGTAAGACACCATCTACTGCAAAATGTATCCCAATATCAATGACAAAATATACACTTAAAAAAGGAGCATATGGTTTATCATTCTTACTATCCTTCCTTAAAATTGATACTCTATGAAAGACTCTTAAAAATCAATGTTAGGTAGGAGCATTGCAATGAATCTAGAATTTAAAGCTATTAAAATATTCAAGCCACAATTTCCAAATATTTCTAGATAAAACTTAGTGACAATATTGGAGATTGAAATAGATTATTTCTTTTCATTGCAAAGTAACAGTTTGGAGGTTCCAGTAGAATAACAATAACAAAAGTCCAAAACCAATGGTGAAATTACCTAGCTTGAGAATGAATAATTACTCCAATAAGTACAATGTTAGATAGTCTCAAATTAATAGAAATATATTGGCAAAAGGAAACCAAATAATTTCAAGACACTTACTTTTTTGATGTGGTACCAGAAATTCCAAGATCTATAAATGGATAAAAGAAAAAAGAATTTAAACCTCTATACTCAGGTTATATGATACGACTTTTAAAAGATCAAAGAATCAGAGGTCTAGAAAAAGTTATTATTTTGCTTAGGAATGACTACATTCAGTTATACAAAAAAGAAGCTATATTAGGAAACATATCCAAAAATTTAAAATTTTCTTTTACTTCTTGTTAGACATAAGGATCATATTTAAATGCTAATTCATGTCTACAAAAGAGTAAACATAGCAGGCTCGAGACTGCTGCTATCTTAGAAAGGCCTGTGAGGCTGGTGTCTGGGAGCTTGGGTAGTAAACTGTTCTTGACACTGAGATAAACTTTCCCTAAGTGATAAGGGTAGCTCACTGTGCCTAAACTGTACAAACAATCTGGTTTATGCAGAACACCTGCTTTCCTTCTGCAAGTCCGGAATTTTGGTATATGCCAAGCAGAGAGTGCCTACGTGATTAGTGTCCAATAAAAACCCTGTGTGTTGAGTCTCTAAAGGGCATCCTTGGGCAGAAACATGTTGCTGTATTTTCATTGCTGGGAGAAGTATGTGTTCTTTTCCTCATGGGAAAGATAGAGCATAAGGAAGTCTGCGTGTGGATTCTTCCAGACCCTGCTTGTCTTTTTCCCTGTGCTGTTGTCATAAATCTTAGCACAAGGATGTGCTGAGTCCCATGAGTCCTAGTGAACCTGTGAATGTGGGTGGTGGTCTTGGAAACCTCCGACACAGCTGGCTTAATCATGCTACTCTAATCTCAATTCATTTGTGACTTCGGCAAATATTTATTGAGCCTCTACATACTCCAGCCATTGTTCTAGGGACTTGGGACATACTAGGGAAGAAAACAATTAAAGATCCTCATCCTGGAGGAACTTGCATTCTAATGGTGTGAGACATGGGAAACAACAAAGTAACAAAAAAATAAATTATACAGACTGCTAGAAGGCGATATGGAAAACCTACGGAAAAAGGAAAATGAAAAGCAGGGTAAAGGGGATGCGGGTATGCTGAGAGTCGGGGCGGATAGTATTACTCAGGGTGCTTGCGGAGGGCCTCATGGAGAAGGTGAGACTCAGGCAAGGCTGAGCACGATCTTGGGGAGGAATCAGGCTGAGGGAACAGCCAGTACAAAGGCCCTAATCAGTTGCAGTGCTGATATGTTAGAGCAACGGTCACCAACCATTTTGTCATCAGGGATTGGTTTCATGGAAGACAATTTTTCCACGGACTGTGGCGGGGAACTGCCTCCGTTCCACTCAGATCATCAGGCATTAGATTCTCATAAGGAGAGCGCAACCCAGATCCCTCGCACGCACAGTTTACAGTAGGGTTCTTGCTCCTGTGAGAATCTAATGCTGCCAGTGACCTGACAGGAGGCGGAGCTCAAGCAGTGATGCCAGTGATGGGGAGCAGCTGTAAACACAGATGAAGCTTCCCTCACCCACAGCTCACCTCCTGCTGCGTGGCCCAGTTCCTCACAGGCCACAGACCGTTACCAGTCCATGGCTCAGGGGTTGCGGACTGCACTGTTAGAGGATGATGTTAATGTTTACTTCTTACCAAATCTTGGCATTGCACAATAGAATAAAGTGTATATTAACTGAACACCATATATAGAAATGATTACCCA